CTTCTTCTTGCGATCTGGAGAGCTGTTCCAATAGTAGAGGACCTGCAGAGCGATGATGCCGTTACAGGCGGAGGATATGACGTAGGTGAGGGCCATCAGCGAGTCTCCAGTTTCCTGTAGAGAGTCAAAATTATGGCTCAAAACAATACACTTATGTGACATGTGAACACAGGCTAATTAGAAACACACACACACAGTCCTCTTACTTGTAGTGAGGTGAAGATGCGGGCGAGGGATCCAGCGAACAGCAGGAAGACGGAGATGGCAGACAGCTGGCCAGTGTGCCCATTACGGTAGTTAGCGGCTGCCTGGATCAGCTGAGACAACCACACACACTGTCAGTCTCTCCCGTGTTGTGTGTTTGCACATGCACATTAGGAACTTTCTTTATTTTTAGTATGTATCGTGTTACATTTGAGTGAATCTGCAACATGGAAAGTCATGCTGCATTACTTCCTTTTTGTTCTGTGACCATGGAAACAGGCAGCAATGACTGTTAATACTGATGAAAATGTCTGGATGTCATGAATATACAGAGCCCCAAAAGGTGATTTTATTTTCTTGTGGGAACAAAACTTAACTACTGTAATGCCTTTCTCTCTGGCATCAACCAAAAGTCACTCGCGCCTCTCGTTGAGAATGCAGCGGCTAGGCTTCTTACTGGTTTCAACAGGTGACATCACACCCAATCCTGGTTTGTCTTCATTGGCTTCCTCTTTGTTTTAGAATTCATTTTAGGATTTTACTCATCACTTTTAAAGCTCGTCTGGATCTGGCCCCAAGCTACATATCAGAATTGTTGACTCCATATGAGCCAGTTTGGAGCCTTAGATTAGAGCTTTGAATGAAATCACTCTGACTGGCAGTTCAGTTTAGCGCACGTGAAGAGAAATGACAGGGTGGAAAGCAAACAAAGAGCTAACGTCAAGAGGGAGTGAAATCAAAACACGCTTGTTACATAAGGCAAGATTACTTTTCTTTAGCCCTTGAGCTCTTTAGCAGAAACACTTCATAATGGTTTGTCTATTGCCTTCTGAGTATCCTGCTTTTGCTTGTCATTCACTTTGTAAACTCAGTTTTCCAAGGTGCAGTGTAAATAAAGTTATTATTACTAAGTAGTTTTAAGTTATTATCTTGTGCACACAATTTAATTATCTTGTGGGAACAGTCTTGTGTTACCGCCACCTACCCTGCCGATGATGATGGCCGGCATGTTAGATGCCTGTAAAGAGGTGATCACAGACACAGGAGTCACAGGAGACAGCAGGAGGACCAGCAGGCCGGAATACACAACCAGAAACAGGAGACCTGGGAGACAAGAAACACACACTGGTGATTAACTGAGGGTTGACGTCAAAGGATTTTGTTTACCCTGAGTCTGCCATTGAGGTTTTCTGGGTTTTCACTTTGATTTCTCTTGTCCAATTAGGACATTCCAATAAAATACAATGCAATCAAACTGATTTTGTTGCTGACACTCACTCACGTTCCATTCAGTTATTACTATTATAAACAGAACATTAAGCCGTGTATTAAAGGCCATGTGTCAAACACACATGATAAAAACATTTAGACTCTGTACAGTCAAGTCATGAATGAACCAGAGCATTGAACCTCAGCATTTACACTTGTTACAATAACACGGCGCCACCCACAGGAAATGCAACCACATTGTAACACAGTACTTCACACTTGAAATAACGAGCCCCCCCTCCAGTGTGCAGATTTGAGTGTGGGTTTTACTATAGTGACAACAAAAATGAATTGATGATTGTGTGATGTTGCAGACATTTAATGTTTGGTGGAATACACATTTTGTCAATATTCATATCGGTATGAAACGTTTGGATGCAAAAAATTCCGCAACAAATATTCTGTATTATTTTTACTTATTTATTTTGTCCCCCGTGTGAAAAGAATTTTAACATGTTTATATACATAACCAGTTCTTTTTTTCTGTGCACACACATGCAGTGTTAGACTAAGAGACATAGTAAAGGAAATAATTCAGTAAGAGATTTGTCGGCTGCTGAGTTTATTGAATGTATTTTACCAACATGTAACTAAATCCAAAAAGACAAAATAGCATTCATCTCTAGCACACGCTAAATAATGGCTTAAAATCTAATTTCCATTCAAGTTTACTCTTCAAAATTGCCATCTTGTCTGAGATCATCATCTCTAATAACACTTGTTTCAGTACTTATCTATGCTTCAGGGGCCAAATATCAGTACTGGTCTTATAAGTGAAGCTTTTTTTCTGATCATGAGTGTTTGTTGAGTGTGGGTGACAGTTGTACCTCTGCTGGTTCTTCCTCCATAGTGCTGAATGAGGAAGCCAATGACAACTGTCTGCAGCATGAGGAAGAGAGCCTCGCCCCAGGAACTGTGGAAACATCCACCACATCTGACTCAATACATGAAACAAAAGGTGGACAGCTGTATCTAAATCAACACACAGTGCAGTTCTACAGTGTTTGCAATAGCACGGCTGTAGATATCAGAGTGCTCCATGTAGAGGTTTACATCACAGAGTGGATTTGAATATGGCCCAACCTGAAAGGGAACTTGTTGATGATACTGTAGGCCATTGTTCCTGTGATGGCCAGCAGCTCCAGCAGCACGGTCTTGAAGCTCAGCCCTTCAGCGCTCTTTGCCCCCAGCAGCTTGAAGATCTGAGGCAGCTTCACTGTGAACATTTCACATCATTCAAATATTAAAATGAAAAAAAAAGAAGCAAAAAGCAAAATAAAACTTTAGCTGTCAAAACCAAATTTTAACTAGTATATTTTAGAATATTTACTATCTTTTATATATGTAAATAAAATATCCTACTTTGAGCAATGTAACATAATGCTACAGCACAGTTACAACTTTAAAGCTGCTGATGATTAGCATAAAACAACATGAATCAAATATAACTAAATCTTATATACTCTTACTGACCAAAACTTACTAAACTGTCTTTAGCTCTATCGTCCAAACCTTGACTGAAACAATTATGTCTAAAATTGGATTAAAATATATCTAAATTTTAGACTTTAACTATATAATGTGTCCAAATGACAGTTATGAGAGCGAAGGTGAGGTGTTTTACCCATCACTGATCCCAGAATGATGCCGAGCCCCAGGCATTTGCTCAGCACAATCTTCAGACATGGTACTGGAAAAAAATTTATACCAAAAAAAAAAAAAAAAAAAGATTAGCTGGCTGACACATTAAAGCACACACACATACACCAAACCAGTAATCAAGCAGAGAATCTAAGGTAAGAGAGGACTAGAAGAGAAAGGAGGAAGACTGCAGAGAGAAGCTACACATAACTCATATATAGCTACAGTAAATGTTTAAAATAAAAACTCAGTAATTTTCGTAAATATCTGAACACTTTAGCTTTTAACAAACATTACACAAACTGGAGAAAATAGTGGTGTTGTTGAGGACTACTTTCAGGGTCGGATTAATCCACACTTGGTGCTGAGGCTGCAGGACGGTTATATGAGTTAAACTACAGTGTGTGTGTGTTTATGGTAATGAATGACATGTCAACCACCAGTACACACTGACTGTAACAAACTGAGCTGACAGGAGCTGAGACATGAATAACACATCCTGGACTTTCCAGCGGACATAAACAGCTCAGGTACAAACGCTTCGATATAAACAAAGCTGGAAAAACCGAGGATATTTTGTAAACGTATCTTAAGTTTGATCAGGTTTACTGTCAGTATGACGTTACATCCCCCTACAGTCTCTTCTGTCTCTCTTCTGTCACTGAGCTCGCGCTGTTGAACTAAAATGAGCCACTCACCGTCCAGGAAGTTGAAGTTAAGAAAGAACTCGTCGTAACATGTTTCTGGCATAATATATGACAACAGAAGTCCTTTAAAGGGATCCATAAAGGATGACCCTTTATCCAAAACCCTTTCCTCCGCCATTGTGGAGCTATACAATACAAGTGACGTTGACTTAAATGTGTAACACTTAAAGAGCCCCGACAGCTCCAACGACAATACAAAGGTTCCGCTGGTTGGGCACTGCTACAGTTGAGCTCTTGGCTAACAACAACAACAACAACAACAACAACAATAAAATAATGCCAAATAGGTTTGCACATGCAAGGAATTTGTCTCTGACGTAACAATAAACACAAAGATTTGAGATATTATTTGTCCATAGAGAGGACATTGTCTAAGGGCAACAATAAAAAGCAATGGAATGAGGGATAGACGGACACTTATGAGGCTGTAAAAGACTAATAATTAAATAAATAAATAAATAAATGCATCTTTAAAAGGATATGGATGGCATGGCTGGGAAGGACATACAGGACACAGAACTAATATAATGTGTGTTTTTGTGTGTTTGTGGATGTGGTGTTTGTGGTGGAGTGGGGGTTGGGATGAGAGGTGACATAAATGAATATGGTATGAATATATATGTGTCTTGGGTCTTAGGTCTGGTGTATGTAAATGTATTGATGTTTTGATGTTAGCCTGACACCTTCCTATTTTAGGAAATTATATACTATCTGATACTTTAAGGTAGCCTACCGTATATAAGTTTGTTGAAAGGAGACTGTAAGCAAAACCCCATAGTGGAGAGCATGAAGTCATAAATTACTATACAGTTACTAGGGACAACCCTCACAATTCCATGGTTACCACTGTCCTGTCACAGAAAGAGGCTCCTGGGTCCTTGTTGACAGAAGTAACTTACAAGATCTACACTGGGAGCTCTGGTTTCCTCCCACAGGTCATACTGGGAAAATTGTGTGTAGATAAGACTGTGATCGTGACTCTGTCTGTCTGTATGTGTCAGCTCTGTAGTAGACTGGTGACCTCCTGTCCAGGGTGTTCTCTGCCCCACAACCGAGGCCTCAGCACTCTGAGACCTAAGATAATACCTTGGATGTTATGTTACAGAATAACATTGAGAATGTGTGGAACTGTGTCAGTGTCTTTCTGTAAAACAAGATGGATAAAACACAAACACAAAATTTTTGACATCATTGCTTTAATGTAATAAACTGCAGACATTGGCAAGTGCAAATCAGAAAGAAATACACAAGATGCATATCATTGGGTTTAAATCTCTGTACATTGCATATACCCTTAATTATTTTATTCTGAATACTGTGAATCTTTGTACATACCCCAGAACAGTGAAATGCAGCTGATAGGGTGCTGGGTGGCCCGCCAACCATTTTCTTATTCACAATGACAATAAAATGATTCACACTGGGAATAAATTTCCTACTTTGAATGTGTATTATATGGCAGGATGCATAAAAAAACATGAAAATACAACTTGTTCATGAAAAAAGTGCCAGTGGAGGATGCCCTGAATGTCCTCAAATCTGCATATACCTGACCTATGCAGGGCTACTGCGACTGGATTTACCTCTGGTCAAAGATGAGCGAGGACAGCAAATGACAAAAGGTTGAAAACAGACAATTCATTCATTATATAGACTGATAAATATTAATAATGTTTGTTCACTAACTGCCCCAGGTCTCCTGTCATTTCGCAAAAGTTGAGTAGTTAAGTGTCCTAATATATATTTTGCACATTCCTCCCTAGCTGTTTCATTTTAAGAGGTTATGTTTGTACATTTTTAAAGTATCTTTTAATATTTTTATTGTATTTTTTTCCATATTTACATGTCTTGTAGTTTCTTACAATAAACTGGATTCCAGTGAATGATATAAAAAAGTCATCCAGGTAATTATTCAGAAATGTAAATGAATCCATTAGATCTCAGTTACTCATTAGTTTAAAGCACTGAAGTGATCCATATTTTTACTCTACAACCAACATGTCTGATCTACTCTTTTTGGCCTCTATGCTGGTTTGATTTTAAGGACCGTGCGTCCGTCCAGGCAGCCAAACATAGGGATCAGACTGTGCTTGAAAGTATCAGAGAAAGTATAAATGTGAACCCTCCGATCAACATCATAAAAAGACACTTGACCCTCTCCAACATCCACATACACCCCGATCAGTCGGGGCACAGTCGCCCTCTGCAGCCTAGTGGGCTCGTCTGTGCAGGCCCACATACTGGGGCCCTTCCACAGGACCCAGTATCCTTTTCTGGGTGACATGGTGGGCTTTTTATTCCTGGGAGTAGACTCTGATATCACACCTACTCTCCAGCTACCATCAGGGGACACCTCCACCTCCCAGTAGTGTCTCCCTGCAGTGATGATGGTGTCACCCAGCACGCAGGGCCACTCAGTAAAATGCTGGCTGTTGTTTGAGAGAGGAGGGGGGCGCACTGATGCCTCCCGCACCTGCAGGCGGTCTAAGGACACAGAAAGCCAGGGATGGCTGGTGCTGGCGTCCAACCGGACAGACACTAGGATTCAAGTACAGGAATATTGTTTGTTGCAAAAGTGCTGGAAGCAGCTAGCAGTTGTAATTCTTTAGCCAAATTCTTCATTCACAATGGAAGGAAATAAGTGAGGTAAATCTGATTACCTGAAGCACTCTGAATCCACTGCCACACTGAAAAACAATAAAATATTATCATAAGTATTCAGCATTTATTTTCTTGAGTTCCACCACCAGTCTATTATTGTCATTTTGCACATTATCAGCCATAACGCTGTGATTCTACAGTACATGTTTGTATTCAGACATCTAAAAGCACACATGGAAATGGTTATTCCATCCAATCCTATTAAGCTGTGTACTTTTACTGGCTGCTTGGCCAAAAGGCACCTCTGCAGAGCACGTCCAGCTGTATTAATCCAAATTCCCATTCCCACTGAACAACATATTCGAAGGTTTCTTCATCACATAGTAATCTAATGTATTTCAAGGATTTGTCATAGCAAAGGAAGCAGCTGAGTCACCTGAGTGGGGTATGTATTTGGGGCTTCCAGTTCCTGTCTTCCAGGCCTTTTGTTTGGTCGGCAGCCACCGCATCGATACAGCCTCCTGCAGAGTCATATTCATCAGTATGGATTCACTTGAACAACACCGTGTGCTTGTGTCATTAGAGAAACAGTTAATGCTTTGTTAATGCAACAAGCCTGGATTAGCTGTGACTCGGTACACGCATGCATCTACACAAAATTTCACAAACACTTGTCACTGGTATAATGATGCCTCCCTATGAAATCCTATTCATAGGTTATGAAAGGGGACATGGCATAATGCTGTGTGTGTGTGTATATATATGTATGTCTGCGTGTGTGTCTTTCTACACAGTTTAGTCTATTTTCTGCCGACCATGAATATATTACATTTGTATGTTTCATACATATAATATCAATGTTTCTAAAGTAACATATGAGCTGACTTTGTCATCAGGAGGTGGAGGAAGTGATGGATGGCGCAACACCTACACAAGACACCTGTCAAGCTGCAGACCACTGTACACCATTGTTCAAGACCAACAAACAAGGTTGCGTTTTAGTGAGTCATCCCTACGTTTCCAATGACTTTTTAGCTGCCAAACGTGGGTGTTTTTTTGGTGACCTGTCACTGTGTTTCCACCGGGAATAACACCATGAAAAATGCTTGTTTTGTATCAAGACATCGCTGTGTTCCCAGCTGGAATAGTGCCACAAGAACTGGGTATTTTAAGCCAAGACATGACCAAAAACAAAGTGTTTTATGTGCCTGAACCTAACCACCAGTTAACCACAGGCTTGGTAAATGTGGAGAAATGTAAAGTTTTAGTGTAGTTCCTCTACATAATAACGCACAAGTGTGTATGAATGTCTGCAAACTATGGACAAACCTGTCCCCCCCTTGCAAAAATTGTGGCTGCCAAAGGGTGGCTGAATTTATGTGGACTGACCGACCAACAGAACGAGCTGTAGAGCTGCTGGTCTCAGCTAAAAATACTCACTTCACTATGTTTTCCAAAAAGTTCTGTATTACATGCACATAATTATCAAAAATATTCCTCACTTTTAGCAGTAGCTTGACTTAATGGGTAGGACAGTTTCTTTTTTCAGGTTAAAGGAGTACGAGGAGTAACATAGGAAGGTTTCAACTGTGGACACTGCGTCCTGAGTTTGTTAAACATCCTAGAATCTGTCCAGGAGTCATACGCAAAGTAAAAATACCCCTAGAAATCTTGCTCATTGCTCCATGGATGCCTAAAGCATAAACCTGCACACACACACACACACACACACACACACACACACACCTCAGTATCCTCTGATAACAGAGACCAAGCCACAAACTCCAGCAGTGGAAGGATGGCAGCCATCCTCGACTCCTTTGCTCCTCTGGGATACAGCAGCTTCTTCAGTTCCTCATCAGACACGCCGTTAGCCTGGCAACACACACACACACACACACACACACACACACACACACACGGAGACAGAGTGTTTTCAGGAGTGAGCTTCGGTTTGAAAGAAGTTTGATTTCTGCTTGTCTTACACACACACACACACACACACACACACACACACACCTCTGTGAGATTCTTCAACTCCATTGCCCACTGCTGAAGCCTTTCATTGTGTTTTTCCACCTCTGTTTCAGCTTTCTTTCCTGGATCATCTCTTCTTGTCTTCTTATCTGCCGACTTGGTTTCCTTCTTCACCTGAGAATAGAGAGGGGCAGTCATTTGGAGGCAGTTTACTGAATGTGCATCTTGTGTGACATTAACAGTGGAGATGAAGCTCAAGAGCTCATTTATTATACAGAATGCAAGTTTAAATAGAGTTTAAAAGCCCTTTGCGAATGCTCTATGAGGTAGGAAACACATGAACATGCTTGAGGATACACACAATACTTGTTGAGAAATGCTTAATGTAAAAAATATAGATACAGGTAAGAGGAAGAATTAAAGATGAAGGAAACAGGAAAGGGAGTTAATGAATAACCATGTTTTGTTCCAGCTCCTTGGCCCATCGGAGGATCAGTGTCCTGCTGGTCTCCAGGCTGCCTGGCTCTTTGGTACCCTCCTCTGGTTCAGTCTTCTTACTGCCACACTTCACCAAATTACAGTAGGTGAAAAAGGAAATGGATGTGAATAATGTTTTTCATAATCTAATCTAAATTTTAGAATTGAAGGTAGTCCCGCTTTGCGAGACAGGAGCTTGAAATCAGAAATAAGCCAGTATTATCTGTCTTCAATATGGGTGCATGCTTTTCCCTCTGTACAGTAAGGAAGTGTATGTTCACATAAATATTTATGACTTTTGACTTTTTTAGTAACTAAATTGGTGATAGCAACAATAAGTAAAATACTGCCAGCCATAACCTCCAGTAATAGGGTCTGTTTTAATAAACACTGCTGATGTTAACAAACTACACTGTAAAATGTGACAAGTTGAAAAGAAAACAAAATGTAGGAGACCAGTTGCTAAGTAAATGTAACTGTTACTCTTATGTCATACTTACTTAATGTCTTTCTTACTTACTTTCTAATTGTTGATAACTTACAATTTAGTTGTATTTACTTAGGCCATATCCACACGAAGACGGAACCAATTTCGTTTTTTAAAAGTTTTCCATTAACACGGAATCATCTCAAGATACACGTATGTACACATGAAGCCATTGAAAACACTGTAGTATGCAAGGCCTGTAAGTGGCGCTGCAGTGCTGCCACAAAGTACACCAAAAACAGAGAATAAGAAATGGAGCATGCGCATTAAACTCGTTGTACAAACACGAAGAAGAAGATGGCGGAAAATACAAAAGCCAGAGCAACCCACTTTGTATGGACTGACAATGAGGTAGAGCTGCTACTTAGGGTCACACTTGATTACAAAACTACAAAACTGCAGGAGAATGTTGACTAGGACTGCGCAGTCAGCCATTGTTGTTGTGGCGCCTTTACGCCGAGCGCAAGAGGGTTAAGGGAGAGGTAGGGTTATGGCGTCATCGCTTCAGAAAAGAGGCGTACTGTGTTGTAAATACGGAAATGCGAAGGTGGCGTCTTCAGATTTTTTCAATCTGGGACCCGGTTTCAAAAGTTGGTGTATTTGGGCTCCTAAAACTCTGGTTCCGTATTTACGAAAGGTCTATACAATAAAAGACCAACTTGTTCTTTTAAGTGTTAGCAACATAAAACTGCCCCTTCAGTCTGGTGAGGGGGACCGCGCACTTTGGTGTTACGTGAACTGCACATCTAGCCTCATGAAGTTCTGGGTCAGGTTGATATTTTTGGATATTTCACCTCCTAGCTTGGAGCATGACGTTAGGTTGCAGTACACCTAGTTGCAGTGGTGTAGTGGTAGTTGATGAGGTGGGTGTACTACTATGTAGATAGGTAGGTTACAGAGAAGGAAGTGGGTATATTCTCCAAGATAGTCCAATGGCATTTTGGCTGATAGGTGGGTATACTGTATATGACCGGAAAAAAAGGTGGGCATACTCGATATAAATGCGTATACCCTCCACTACATCACTGCCTGGCTGGGTGGTGCTCAGTGGCTTGACCACTTCACCTATTTAAAGCCCACCATTAATATATTGTGGCCTAATAGTAAAGCACAAGAAAAAGTCTTAAAGGGGACTGATTGCTTTAATTAGCTACAAACAGGAGTGTAGTGGGATCTAGTGCGTACCTGGCTGATGTTGTTGACCTCCTCTGCCAGTTGCTGAAGAAGCTGTAGGCACTCTGTCAGAGTCTGCATTGGCTTTAGATCAGGCTGAAAAGAAGTAAAGGTATTCCTGTGGGTCCATTCAGTGTCGTTCTTCCTTCTTTTACACTTTCACAATCTTCCACACATTTACACATTGTAACTACTTGCTTACCTTTGTTGTAGAGGGACCGGTCTTAAGTGGAAAAGTGTGTGACGATTCCTCCAAACCCTTAGGAGCAGAATCAAAAGACACATTCTCAGGGACAACTGGAAAGTTTATGCATTCATCAACAGGGGCGAAGCATTCTGGACCCTATGCATCAGCGATCTCTGTGGGCCCTCTGCCCTTCCTCTCTTGATCCATGTTTCTCTCACATTTTAATTCAGTTTGCATTCTCTCCCTTGCCTTTCTTTCTTTCATTTCTGTCTTTTATTGGAACCCACATGTCCCTTTCTTAGTGAAAAACACGACAATGTACGTTGGCGCTCCTGCAGCATAAGCAGTCACTCACTTGGCTCTGGCTGCGTTAGTGCAGGGGCGGACTAAACCATTTTGCACCTTTAACAGGTGAGGAGAACCTCAGAGAGCTTCCACTATTTTTTTAAACAAAGTTCAGTCTTTCAATCAACTTATTCCCCAATTTTAATTTGGTTATGGAACTAATTACTTAGAAATAAAAAGTTGCAAACAAGTTCAAACTTTTAATTCTTTTGATCAATCCTCATGTCATCAACATGTTATAGGATGTTAGTTCACCTGGATTTCACTGAAGGATGGTTTATCCAATGGTATTGATGAGCTGGCATTATTCTATGTATGCAGAAAAAAAATACAACATTAGATTATTGCAGATCAATCCACAGATATGCAGAGTGTGCTGTAAATTTACCTTGAATTCACTGAGGGTGGGTTTATTCCATGGTGCCGAGCTGGATGAAGAGCTTTTCTCCAGGGCTTTAATCTATGTATGCAGAAGAAAATACAACCTTTGGTTAATACAAAGCCATCCACAGATGTACAGAGTAAACACCATAAAAGCACCAAATGTGCAATGAAATATAATATTTATTCACATACCTAACATGAAAGACCACAGACTAAGCTTACTGGGTAGTGAGAAATGCTTTTATAGCATAAACGGCAACCTCCAGGACTTAAAAATGAAGCCATTGGCCAAGTGCTAAAAACTGCAGTTCCTCGTGTGGCCACTTGAGGCTGGTCTCTATAGCTAATTTCCTCCTTCATGACAACAGAACAGGGGATGAATTTTTTTTTACACCTCACCTGTTTTAATGTTATTAAGGCTTAAAATTATGCATAACTAAAGGTGTGGCCACTTTAAGTGACAGGTGGGTGCTGCCCGTTAACAATTTGCTACCACAAGGACAACGTTGGTTAGGTAACGTCACTATAGGGCAGATTCACAGAGGATCAGCATAGCCACAGCTTACACTATTTCAGTGTGGTTTTACTTCATGAAATTTAAAGATAACGTTTTGATGTCCTAAAAAAGTCTTGTTCAGCATTTGGTTGTACTGAAAGACCCACTAAGTGGTCAGATGTTTAATTTTTTCGGTAAGTACATTTTGTTTTTAGCTAGAAAATTTTTTTCATTAGCATTATCACAGCTAACAATAGTTGTAAATGCACCGTGCTAACCAAGCTAGCTGCTGGCGTTAGGGTTAGCTTAATCCTCTTGTCCAAATATGGTCACTTCTGGCTCCAAAAATCCAAAATAGTGACGGCCAAAATGCCAAACTCAAAGCTTAAAAAATGAGAGTCCACAGACCAGTGGGTGATGTCACAGTGGCTATGTCCACTATTTTATACAGTGTATGAATGTATTTGTAGCCCCCACTTGATTGCAAAGTCTGATCTCCTAATAATATTTACTTACTACCATGTAGTCAGAGCTGCTGGTATAGAAGTAACAATTCCATTGGTACCTTGTAATGTACACAGTAATTGAGGGCTGTACTTTAAAGTGTGATATATTTTTCTTTAAACTCTTGTCAGAGGTGTTGATTTAACTCTAAGGTCATTCTTGCCACTTTGGCTTGCGGCAATGTTGTATTGCTTGCATTAATCATGGAGACATGTATTAAGGTGCCCATCAGACAAGAATACCTGCTTCTTGGTGAGTGTGGATTTAGCCTTGGTCTCTGCAGGGGTTAGTGGTTTCGTCGCCATCCTCCATCCAGAGTCAGCTGAGAGATACACAGCAGGCAAAAACATGTAACAACATTAAACAGATGCCAGCATATAACAAACAATGACCCTAATGATGGCAATAAAGGAAAGAGTTATCTATGCCATTGCAGGAAGTGGGAACTTGGGGGGCCATGCGTCTATCAATTTCTTTTTAACATTTACATTTTCAAAACAGACAACAAACACTTCACGCAGTGGTTGGTCAAGTTTTTGGAGGTGAGAAAGCTGTCAGGGTTTAAACTCCTCTCTCAAACTCTTTTTAAAATTCCATACACTACAATTTCGGTAACTTTTCATGTAAACAACCAAGTGCAACACTATGAATGTCTTTGAGGAGAAAACCATGCGCTGTTATCCTCGTGATTTAACGGATCATCACATGAAGCTGCGTACTATCACAGGTTGGCAGAAAGAAAGGAAAAATGGCAGAATTTGAAAATACACCCTCCTCCTGCAGCTACCTGCTCCCCTGACCCCAGACAACCACGGGCATATGCATGCACTTCATACAGTTACACAGTGTTTCCTGTACATTGATTTATTTATTCTTATTTTGTTGTAGAGCTGCACACAGATCATTCGTTCAGCCTCTTCTTGCCCTGCTCTTTTTCTCTCCGTTCATCAAAATACAAATCAGATAAGAATTAGCTAGCCACCCCATGTTCTCTGCCCTGTGCTCCCTATCGCTGTGGACTGCTCCCTAGGAGGAGGGTGGGAGGCAACTCAGGAGACAAATCTTCAATCAGTGGCTGAAGCAACTCAATTTTGGCCAGCACAAACCCCCCGACGCCGGGCAGCAGCAACAAGTCTAACCTGTGTAACAGCAGCAATAGAAAGTTTGCTGTTCTGGTGGGGAGTCAAGACTGTCTGGTCCCCTGGTTCTGGGATTTGTGCTGGATGCATTCGGGTTGCTGTGGCCGCTGATTGTGGGTCAGTCTCCAGAGATGCTGCCCACTCTTCTCCTAGCGAGATGGTCTGTAGCGGCGGGGAGTGAGGCAGAGGACACACTGTGATTTGAGACTCTGACTAGAATTAGCTACATAAACATGAACTTGAATCCACATGAGCCTTTAGGTCTGATTAGTAGAAGGCTAAACTGTTAGCAACATTTTCTCTCCATCTTTAAAACAAGTCAAGTCAGTTGCATTTATATGGCACATTTAAAAAACAACAGCTGACACAAGGTGCTTTCCAGGATCTGCCTCAATGCAGGTAAAAGCAATAAAAGGTACAAAAGGGCAATGGTGAGAAAAGACAGGACAAAAAGTGGAAACCTAAAACAATTTACATGATAAAGTCAAAATCAAATTATCATACCACACTAATGCAGAGAGAAACAATTTAACACAGTTACATACATGTCTGATAAACAGCTCATAGAAACAGACAATTGGAAGAAACAGACAATAGGAAGGTCTTCTTCAGCTCAGATGGACTTCATTAATACCATTAGACCAGTCAGACGCAGTTAAAACGCATTAAAATAATCTCTCAGTTACACATTAATTCTCTGACTAACAAATTCACGTTGGCACAAATCAAAAGACATTTTACAAGACATAGTTTTGGACTTGAATACGAATTTATCTGCTTTCAAACACTTACCAAAGGAGCAGAGATAAATACTTTCAACCCAAAAATGAAAAATAAAAATCAAATCCAATCAAAAACAGTGAAATGTGATCTAATGATCAAAATAACTCACTTACTGTCAGAGCTGTGTTCCTTGTTTACCTGTAAAGCGATAACATGATCACCTCATTCGTGGCTGAACGGCTGAACTTGAGACTTTGGCCTCCAGGATATATTTTTATTACTGAATTTACGGTCACCACCCAACCCACTGTGACGACTGAATGTCTATCTGTAGTTACAACTAAACTCGCTTGCTGCCTCCAACAATAAGAACTTTTTGAAACAAGGAACTATTACAGATTTACAGCAGTTAATTCTTTACAGAATATTTATGGGGACAGGGCTGCAGATAAAGATAAAGAGGTCATATCTTGAGTTGTTTCTGGGAATGAACACAAACATGCCCTTTGTGTTCTGAAGGCTGATTTTTGAATATAAATGATGAGTAAATAATAGCGGAGTACATATCTATACATTTGCCTTGGGGCAAAGGCTATATATTAAATCCAAACATCATACTGGGAATTTCTTTACCAGAATTATGTTTCCAGGAAAGAGGGAGAGGCTTTGACAGGGCATTACGACCATCAAATTTAAAGAATACGATAAAATAGTGGAACAAAAGAAAAGAAAAAAAATCAGATGATGACTAGAGTCAAAAAGTTTTGGGGAATTTGGACTCATGAGCTCAGATTCAGCTCTGCACAAAGGTGATATGTTATCACATAATAAACTGCAAGTACTGCAAGAGTTACACAAAGTTTATTGGATACAGTTTGACTCAGTACAACCCTGCATAGCCCTGCAATAAACTTCTGAATCTTTATGAAGCTTATAATAAGGTCAGGCACAAAAACTACTTTCTTTTGCTATGATTATGGTTTGGGGTTGAAACACTTGCGGCCCACCAATATCCGCTAAATATGTATTTCAACAACAGCCGACAAAACAATCTCACCACATGTCAGCTAATACACAGACCTGGTGGTGAGACTGTTCTGTCGAATTGGGTTTACGAGGTCAAGGATTAACTTTCTGTCTCAGCAAAGCATAGACGAGAAGATGAGACCAGAAAGTGCTATAAAAAAGGAAACATCTACAGTTTTACAAAAATTAAGAACGATCCAAGCTCTACAACTAATTATTACCTAAATACTTTTTTGTCAAAATTGTGACTCTGAAAAGGAGTTCAACCAGTCTCTCATTTGTCAGGTCATCATTAATGATTCATGATGTATTTTATCAAGTACAACTAGATCTCCTTTGGTAATTTTTTTTTTTTTTAAATTTAGGAAGCAATTTTGTATCAGTGGACATGTTTGGATTATACATTAGTCTTTACTTGGAAAACAAATGAATTTAAAGATGCATGGAAGAGGATTAAAGATACTAGGTTATAGGGGTGTTCAGAGCCAGGTGTTACTCAAGATAATCCACAGACCTTGTTGTGAGCAATTTCATGTTGGAACTATTTTCTTTCTAACGAACTACACCCACCAACCGTATCACTGCGCTGAAGGAAGCATGCATCTACTGCTATCTCACCTAGCATCACTGAGCTAGCCTATGTTACAGGTCAGGCAAGGAGGACACCATTAATGTTTAAATCTCGAGTAACTGGGTCATGATTTCTGGAAAGAGACATTGCTGTTGAGTTTTTCAAATGTGTTTTTTTGGCACTTTGAGCACCACAAGCCAAGTGCCATCTAGTTCCATTATACTGGATAGAAGGCAGACATAAGTAAGGTCGATATCTTCAACACTCAGCAACTCACACCAAAACAAACTAAACTGATAAATAACACTACAGGTAAGAGGAAAAATATCTATTTTTAATGTTGGGGTGAACTGTCCCTTTAAGTCACTCTGCTGGCAGCATAAATAACACAACTTTCCACTGCTCTCTCTCTCTCTCTGTTTCTTCTGTAAGGTCATCAGAGTCCAGATTTGGTGAATGAAAGTATTTACAGTCTCACATCAAACCCAGCTGAGTTGGTGAGAAGAAATAAAATAATTCACTGATAACTTACTTGGAGTGATTCCAGCACATTTTAAACCAGAAAACCTAAAATAATAAAATTGTCCCTTAATTCAACCTCAATCTTAATACCATTTAAAAATCTGATTTACCTCACTCTAATGTGTATTCTGTTCTTCATTAGCAGCTATAGCACTGGTTCTCAGACTGTGGTGTACCACTATTGGTATGGGAGCTCACTCTAGTGGTACATAGGGGAATTGTTAAATTATGGGAAAAAAAATTAAATCAATTGATTTCAATATACTGTATATATGATGTTATCAAAAAAAAAAGAGGATAAAATTAATGTTTTCAAGGCAATTGTGGCTCAAAATGGAACTATTAGGAAGAGAAGTTTAGATAAGGAGGAGAATATTTTATAGACAGTATCTTCTGTGGCTGAACAGGGAAGGCCTACGCTATTGTATTTTAACTATCATAATGTGGTGGGTCTTAGGGAACCAAATATTTTCTGAGGTAATATGGTGTAAAAAGTTTAAGAACTACTGAGGTAAAAGACAAAGAAAAAATACATCTCCATCCCTAAAAACATTGTTAATGTAATCTGCCAAAGAGGAAGTTTGAATTTGTCCAGCATATTGAGAAACAGCTTTCAACGACTACCAGTCTGAAGTTTACCATCTAAGGTTTGCCATTTAAGCTAGTTGGTAACTTTTATTGAAAAAAATAACCTTTGTCATATTTACAACTGTCCGCATATTAACAAAGCACTAAATGAGACACATCATCTGTGGAAGAAAATCATATTGAAGCTGTGCTCAAATAGTCTCTGATAGTTTGTGCTTCACTTCAGACCTTGTTTCAGAGTTATCAGGCCTGATGACTTTCACCGCAGGCCTAACCTCTTCCTGTCAAACAAGTGATGCACTCACACACTCCTCCACTGCTGCAGACCTCATCTAACCCTTGCTATAAGAGACTGCGGACAGGCTCGTCCTCTATCAAACACCAATAATATACTTTGGTTCTCAAATTTGAGCTCAAAGGCAAGTCAGAGAGAGACAGAGAAAAGAAGACACAGGTTAGAGATGAAGTGACTGTAACCCACAGCCACCCATACAAAGCACAGCAGCAGGTTAACATGACAAAGCATCAGCTCAGCTTTGAGCTGCAGTTCCAGCTGCTTCCTAAATCTGTCGGGTGGCAGTGTAACTAACATTTGGCTCCACTTCTCTCTCTGATGCAGAACTCCTGATGCTTTTTGTTGTTTGGTGGCCTCTTCCAACATGATAATAATGATCAGGGCTTTTGCCGCTCAGGATCACATACATGACATTACAGACCTTTAATCTAATAAGCCTCATGATGTCATGATGTTCAACTCAGTTGTGTTCAGGGGCGGAAATCCCGGGGGGGACAGGGGGGACATGACTCCCCCTTCAGTAAAGCTGTACCCCCCTAGAATAATTTGAGACACAATTAATAATTTTTGAACAATGCAGTAGTATTTATTGAAAGCAGAATGTAAGCAGTGCTCATTATAATCGCGCAATAATGTGCTATTTAAATCTTAAAAGATTGAGTCCCCCCCTCCCATTCCTAGTAGTGGTATATCCCACACTCTTTCCAACGGGCGGGGCTGCTTGCAGTGTTGCCAACTTAGCGACTTTGTCACTATATTTAGCGACTTTTCAGACCCCTCTAGTGACTCTTTTTCAAAAAAGCGACTAGCGACAAATCCAGCGACTTTTTCTGATGTTATTGAAGACTTCTGGAGACTCTGTTGTGAGAGCACGTATCATTCTTATTCTTCTCAACGAGCAGCGGATGCTGCCGTGAGCTCCTCTCTCGCCCCAAAGCACTCACAGACGGCCCAGTCCTCCCTCCCAGCTGCAGTCAGAGCAGGAGATGTTAACCCCTCCACGTCCAGACTGCAAGTGAATCGTGCATGTGGGGAACCGCCGCTGGCTGATCCCGTCCTGGTTTACAGTCAGGGCGGGATGTAAATGTAAAATCTTTGTCTAATATAAATCACTGAAAGAAGGTTCATTTGTAGTTCTAAACATATTCAGGGTGTTTTTTTACTCAGTTTTTGTCTCTCCTACGATGTTATTCCTCTCTCCTACAGCAGCCATTACAATTACATGCATATGGACAATTATGCAAATTGGGCGATGACGTCATTTAGCGACTTCTAGCGACTTTTAGGACAGCCAATAGCTACTTTTCTTACTGAGGAGTTGGCAACAGTGGCTGCTTGGCAGCAGTAGCAGCGTGTGGCTGGAACCGCTGCCCACATCGCGCATCGCAGGGTAAGATGTTCACTCACACAGACACAGTTTAACTTACACAAGTTACAACACATCCCATTTACTGTTAAAACAAGCCCCAGGCCCAGGCCGATAATATAAACTGTCTGCAACATTTCTCCTGCATTGTTCAAAAGCCTACTCAATTACGAGTGCTGCTAAGCTAAAAGCTAATGATTAAGCTCAGAGTTTAGTGATAGTCAGAGAGGACAGGAGAGAAAGAAGAGGGAGAGGACAGGACAAGAGTCAGTGGCGGAGCAATGGGTACCTGTCTGTAGGCTCTCCACCTGTCAGTGAGACAAACATGAGAGTCGTGCAGTCTAACTGACGAGGAGCGGTCATTATGCACGACTATTACGCACGGTTGTGAGGTGCGCAGCGGCAGATCTCACAGCACACTGTTTATAAACCAGTTTACCAGTTTAATTGCAGGAAATGTGTAGTTTTAGTTTTAGTTTAGTTAGTATAGACATTCACTTTGCCTGTTGGAGAGATAGAGAGAAGATTAAAGCGTCAAATTGCGGTAAAAGATGCTGTATAAAAGCCAGGCTACAACTTTTTTTCCTTGTCCCCCCCTGGAATTATTCTCAAAAATTTTACTGTTTATTGTCCCCCCCAACTATGAAATGGGATTTTCACCCCTGGTTGTGTTCAAAGCACATTGTGCTGTCTCTTCCTGTCAAACAAGTGAGGTGTTAC